TAAATTACCAATCAAACTATTATAAGTATTATTTATTTCTTTAAAATTATCAATATCGCAATGTAACCCATGGTACAACTTCTTCTTATATTGGAATCGGTCCTTGTCAATGTATCTATTTACATTTTCAGATAAAACAAGAGACGTTTCTTCTAATAAATCACCATAGTTCTCTTTTTTATTTATAGACAAATCATTTTTGGATAGGATATTGATTTCTTCGATCATGAATTCACAGAAAACAATAATATCTTGCTTTGAGTTAAACAAGATAAATTGCTGCAATTCATTATCAGATAGACTATTCATCAGATTATTAAATTCTCCTAAGATATCTCCCAAAGAACCATCGTACTTGTTTCTGAATAGTTTTTCTCTGTAGTTCTTACGAGCATCGAAGTAAGTCTTCCATTCAACCGGAACACTTTCAATAAGCTGCGTTTCTTCAAGTGTTTTTTCTTCGAGTGATTTAATAAGATTCTTTCTAAGATCCTTATCCATTTTGTATTTTATTTTATTTTATTTTCCAATGGTTAGATCTTACAGCTAATATAAATAAATATCAAACAACGTGACTATTACATAGTAAACAAATCCAGATTTGTTAATTCTATATAACCAAATTAGTACAACTAAATATCCCAAAGATATAAAAGCGCACCAATCTATCTTACCATAGGCAAATAAATATGGAAAACTTCTCTACGCTCATAAAATTCTGCCAGGAAAATATTTGCAATGTTTCTAAATTCAAAGAAACATGTAAAGAAGTTCGTGGCAAAAAATCCATTTTTGGAAATAACAATGATAAAAATAAGATATTTGATATGTGTGATAAGATATTCAAGGACCCCGGGTATGATAACGATATAATTCCCAAACCATTAACAGTAAATCAAAACAGTTTATAGAACAACTTGAATCTCAATTATCCACGCATATTGAAAAGGTCGGAGCATACGTGATTAGTTTCAAATCGCATACGCAATTAGTTTCAAATCTTCTAAGAAACCCTTCTTGAATATAAAAATAGAAGAAGTGGAAGAATTTGAATATCCGGTTGCTCGTATTATTGCAGCTCAAAGGTATCCAAATATCGAAATGACTACTGGTGATATATGTAATCATACTTATTTTAAAGATTTTATTAGGACATATTATGATATAGATTTTGATAATACAGAAGGCATTTCATATAACCAATTAAAAACTATCAT